AAACTTGATCAAGCCAACGCTTTAAAATTATCATGCATAATATGAATAGCAATTTTTAAAGATTTTTTAAAATCTGCTGAAAGATCTTGTGATTTAAATTAGATAGCCTATCATTGTAGTAAATTTGATTACAAATTATAAATTATATAGCGTTTAATAATTACTTTAAAATACTTTGATTTAATCAATTTCTTTATTTATATTATTAATTTAATAAATGCAAAATACCATATAATTGTTTTTATTAATTAATGAAAATAAGAAGTATATTCTTTGTCACTATTAATTCAATATTATACTATATGAAGTCAAAGTATATAATAATAAATCGAAGTATAAAGTAAGAGTAAAGTTAAATTCAAGTATATTTTTTTGCTAACGAATAAGTCAAATTTATATCTTACGGATATTAGTTTTATAACAATGTCCAATACACTTGATAAATATTTCCATTTAACTGAATCTTCTGAATCAGATTTAAATAATCGAAATTTAGAAAAAAAGTCATCTAAAAAAAAGTTTATGATAAAATAAATACATGGTCAGATAGAATATCCATGACTTGATTGTTGACTTGATAGCCAGGATATACCTGAATTATACTGTATTTGGTGTACTAAATATAACCAACATTCTACTAGTATTTTCGTTGTTGGTACAAAAACATTTAAAAAAATTATTTAGATAAGCATATTGAAATTAAAGAACACCAAAAAGCTATAGAAAAATATACAAGACGTCAACCTGATCTTCTAGATATAATGAGTAGTTTTACAATACAAACTGGAGTTAATAAATTAGATATTATTGCTAAAATGTATTATGTTTATTTATGTGCAAAAAAGCATATTGCAATTGAAGTATTTTTTGATTTAATTGAATTAACCAATTTACAATTTCAAAATAAATTAGAATTAATATATAACAAATCTCCAATTATAGTTTCACATCCTATTTTTGGTCCAAAAAGAGTTTTTTTAGATACTATATCTGAACCAATTTTAAATAACCAAGTATCTAATTATGCTATATATAACAATTCAAAAGCCGGAGCTGATTTTTTACATGCTATTGCTATGGTAATTGAAGATATTTTAGCTGAAGTTTGAAGATCTCTATCATGGAGTATATTGATTAATGAGAGCAATACAATTACACATAATAAAATATGTGCTATTGTTAGTAAGCATGTAGTAGAAAATATACCAGTTCTTCAATATTTGGAATTAATTGAACTAGGTGAAACAAATGCAGAAGCTATTACAAATAATTTAAAAAATTTTTTTATTGCTAAAATGCTTAATACACAAAAATTAATACATTTTGGCAGTGATGGTGCTAGTATTATAATTAGTACATATATGTTGTGCCTTAGATCAATTTTTGCCTCAGGTGGTAACTAAAGCATCTCAGGTGTTGATCATTTGGCTGGCATTAACTAATCAACATTAATTGGCCTAAACTACAATCTAATCCTTACCCAAATTCTAACTCTAATTTATGCCAATCAACATTTGAGGCAAGAATTAATCTGAGGCACAACATATATATAAAAATAAATTATTTATATTATAATATTTATTTTTTTTTATATTCGGTGGTTCTGTCTATTACTTTTTTTATTGAAAGTACCAGAACTTATATTAACAGGTAGATACAATTTTCTATACTATATTCCATATAAGTAAAGATCAACTTAAGCAAAGCTCAAGAATGACCCATCTAGCAGCAAATAGCTCTATGTTAAATCCTTAACTTACTGAAAATGTGAACCCTATGATCCTTAGCCTTAGCAGCTGTATCACTTCATCAAAAGAGCCAAATTAATGAAAGCACAAATACAAAAATGTAAAAAAAACACAGAGGATATGATAAAAGATACAATTAAGAAAATAAAAGAGATAAAGAAATCACGTTAAACCAAAAAAAGATTTGTTTATTCTAACAATCACTATTATGAGCCTGTGAATAGCTTATAAAAATTATATATTACTAAATAAAATAGTTTCTACTCTAACTTTATCTACATAGTATATTAAAACTCAAAACTAGTAGAAAAATACTTTTTTGATTATGAATGTAGGAGTCAGTACTCGGTCCAAATTGCAGAACATTGTTTGATCAGGTTATTATATTTGAGGCATGTATTTTGACTTGTTTGTTTGTTGTCCTGTTGTACTGATTTAGAAAGTAAACAATACTAACTATTTTAGTATATGTGATATTGATCTTTTGAAGGGGGTAAGCTAAAATGCCTACTTTTTACAAAAATTTTCTCGAAAAAAAGTGGTGGGTTAACGAGAGAGTAAAAGTTCTTTCTGTAGATTTTACAGTTGTATATACATTTTCACAGACTTCTACTGTCTTTAGAGAACCTGTTTTTAGAATAGACCTTCTGGTTTGGATGTCAAATATCTTGGAGAGTCCACTTCAAAGAAAACAGAAACAAAGTTTAACCCTAAAAAAAACTACCTTAGTTATATCTGCTCTTCAGTATTTCATGTCTTTCAGGTTTCGTTGACAACAGCTTGCTTTGAATAAACCTGTTCCCAAAATAGACCTTCTGGTTTGGATGCCAAATATCTCAGAGAGTCTGTCTACAAGATGAATAACTTGACCCCAAGAAAAACCATCTATTTAATGCCTGCTCCTTGGTATTTCACATCTTTGAGGCTTTGTTGACAACAGTTTATTCAAGGTAAGACTAAAGATAGTAGCTGTTCTAAATATTCCTATAGCATTTTTCTGTAGTTCGGTTTTAGTTGTTGTTGGCCAAAAGATCATTGGAGAGAGTTGATTGATAATATTTATTTTTTAGTATAGTTTATAATTTTAATAATTTATATATTAATATAAGAAATAAAATTGGTGTTGCTGCTTGGTTAAAAGAAATTAATCTATTTATAACAAACTATCACTATATTTTACATAAATTAAATTTAGTCAGCAAAGATTTAGCTGAAAAAGTTCTATATTTTAAAAATTATAAAATCATATTAAAAGAAATTTATGCATATTTTGCAACCTCTCATCAAAAATGATAATATCTCAAATTATTTTAATTAAATAATAAAGATTCTTAATTAGCTATATTACATATTGTTAATACCTAATAGTTATCACTTTCTAATACAGTTTTTAATTTACATCAAATAATATTTTCTATAAAGAATACTCTTTACAATGAAGCTCTTGATAATCTTTGTACAAAAACCAGACAATGTGCTAAAGCTTTATATGATGATATTAATTTTTAGCAACTAAATATCTTGCTGATATTCTTTCAATAATTAGTAAACTTACTAATATATTCTAATCAGATTATGTTGCATTATCTGATATGTATATACAATTAAATGTAGCAATTGAGTTAATTATATAAAATTTATTAAATATAAAGAGAATGATATTATGCTAACTTATAGATACTATTTACAAAATATATAAATAATACTATAGAACATAATGAACTGCTCTCAATTTTTAAAGAATATGTATTAGTATTTATTAAAAATCTTCATCAGAGATTTTCTGATATTGGTATTTATAATACTATGTGAATTGTTGATTTTTTACTAATTTTACTAAATTCTCGAAAAATAGTAACATTTGAAGAATATAAAATTCAACTTTTAGATGAATTTTATGGAAAGTTTAAACAGTATAATGATATAAATTTTTTAGCAAAAGTAAATAGAATTGAACTTCTTAAAGAATAGCAAGAAGCAAAATTAGTTTTAAAAAATTATAAAGAATTAGGTTTTGTTGAAAGATGGAAATGAATTTTTGATAGTTCTCAATTTGTTATACTTTATCTAAATGTAGCAGAAATAGTTTTTTTTTTATTGCAAATAGTTATGTTAAAAGAATTTTTTCTTAACAAAATCTTATAAAAACAAAAATATATAATCAGATAAAGCTTAAAATACTCAATTCTTATATTATAAATAGACCAAAATTAGAAGATTTTAATTTTGAAAAAGCATATGATTTTTGGAAAAGAAGTCTAAAAAGGTTTTAGAAATAAAGTTTAATTTTTTAAACAAATTATTAAAATCTAAAATCTTAATAATATAATGATCAAGAATAATAATTAAAAATTTGGTATTTAAA